GGGGAAAGGTTTGGAGAAAGGTTGTTTTTTAATAATAGAGGGCTATTGCGGCTTGAATTCTTGTGCGTTGAGCGCCTATGCTCACTTTCTTTGGTTTGACTACATATGACCGACGACAGCGTTTATTTGTTGGCGAGCTTTCGGCTCCAGCCTGTTAGCTGTTTTGGACAACGCTGATGTACCATGCTGTGTTGTAACTCTGTAAATGGCGATCTGTTGGTGGTTGCTGTGGACGATCACCCACACAAGAACATGATGTAGGTGCAAGTCGATGCATGATAGGCAGTTATCATCTCTTGTTGCCTGGGTACCTAGCTGTCAAGTCGAATGTCAACATCGCTGTGCAGTTGCGAATTGCATCTCTGTATGGCTGGCTGACAACGTTTGGACATGTTTGATGCGGCTTCTGTGGCTACCCTCTCATGTTACATTATCTTGCAGATGGATATGCACCGTCCGGGCCGTTGAGTAACGTTAAAAACGACATCATGCAAGGTAAAGCAAACTCAGCAGTGATGATTCAATATTCGTAAATAGAGTTCAGTCACGATCATCATCCAACGGCGCCACAACACGATATCATGGTTCCTTGCAGGTGCCCTGGATCTTCAAAAGTCAAATACTTCTTGACAAGGCCCCTCTTTATGTCACAACCGTGGTCTAACATCATGGTGATACTTGTTGCCATCCGCGTATCAATTCTCCATCCTTTTCAGGGTCCTGTTTGAGCGGAGGAAACCTCGCACCGACCAGCGGGGTAATTGACGTGACATGGCTCTCCAGTACGGGGATCTTTGATGTCTCCGCGTGTGGATTCTTGTGTTTTGCAGTGCAGTACATAACCCAGCCACGCGTGGAAAGTTCCCCACTGCCCACTTTCACGAAGCTGCTCTCGAGTGGATTCATCACGTGACTTGACATCGGCGCTACAGCAAGGCCGGTCCCGTCCACGCGCGAGCCTCGTCATTATCAGCCTCCAGTTCAAGTTCCAAGCATCGTCAACTTCCTCATCGACTATCGAACCCGCAACAACAGCTCGTCACGCGATATTCGCCCTGTATCTTTCGCAATCAACATTTAATCTATAATGGAGGAAGAACGTCTCTGGAAGTTCTCGCGGCCCGAGTGGCTTAACACTGTCTGGGCCCGCAACGCTGGTGTTTACAGCGCTGGAGCTATTGTATGTTATGTCCTCTGGATTGTCGCTGATCTGGCTATCTACTGCTGCGCTCTCCATGCATGTTGTCAATGTGTCATGCGCGGCCTTTGCGCCAAACACAATGTCCAATCCCAGCTAACCGGTTTGCCATAGTTCTCCGTCGCTTTCTACATCATGCTCGACTCCGCCGTCTGGTCCAAGTCTCCGCGCAACGGCTCCGACGTCCATGTCAAGTTCGTTGACTGGCTGCCCTTTATGTTCTCCAGCTTGGGCATGCTTATCATCAACTCGGTCGAGAAGCAGCGCCTGAGCGCCGATTCCTTCAGCTATAGTGGAAATGGGGTGGCATGGAAGGCTCGCGTTGTCCTATTCTTGGGCTTTGCAGCTCTAGCTGGTGGAATGGCTGGTGGTGTTACTGTTTTCGTTCTCAAGTTTATCGTCCCAAGTGTCTCTATGCCTGCTTTGGGTATGGGTATTGAGAACGTGGTTAGTAACGCCCTTGTGGGCTTGAGGTAAGACTCCTTGCTACAAAGTGACTATGCCTTTTTACTGACTCTGCACAGTTCTGTGGTCCTCTGGGTCAGCCAGAACATGGAGGACGAGTACTCATACAACCTGTCCCTGTGAACATTGCGGTCAATACGAGCAAAACGATCAATAGGGGTGAAATTGGGGGCGTAATGATGGGCTGGGATGGTTCCCTAGACCTAAGCACACAAAGTGTACGATTAAGAGCAGGGCCTTGCAGTACATTGATGGAAGATTCATGGCGATGAGGGTGATTCACGTGTAGGAACAGTAGGCAACCAATTTTGGCTGAAGGACACCTAAACAAAGCTCGATTCCCGTGGGAAGTGCTGAGTAAATCTCTTTTTGAATCTAAGCTTGGCTTAGAGTTAGCGTTGTTGAAGATGGAGTTGGTAGACTGTTGTACTATTATCACTTCAAATTACAGTCCATAATTCGTACTTGGAGGTACCGAGTGACTTTGTCATACGGTACAATGTGAGTAGGGGCTACCATTAAATAGAGTTTCTGATCAATTGCATTGGATGCAGAGTCAAAGAAGAGGCTCATCTGGGTCCTTGATATAACACCCGGTGCTGTATACAATCTTGCACTTGCCTCGTTGGTCGAGATCACTAAGACGAAGACCCCGGCGCATCCCCACACAAAGTCAACAGAAGGTGATCTCGCATCTGACTCGATGCACAATCCATGGAATAAACATCAAATTCTGAATAGAAATCCTTTTCTTACACCACAGCTCCTTATCACCCTTCACAATTCATAATGGCCGATCGCCCTCGGCCAACCACAAACGGAACCGGAGTCTCCCGCTCCCGCAACGGCGCCTCTTCTGCCGGCGTCCGTCGCAATTTGTTCCAGAACCAGAACCAGTTGACCCGGCGACCTACCGCTGGTTCGACATCTACGTCTGCCGAGACACTGCATTTAGATGCAGACGTGTTATCGGATACATCTGAGATTGTCGTTCGTGATAAGTACGGCGAAATTGAGCTTGGAGATCCTCCGACGCCGATGATGGAGGATGAGGATGAGTTGCCGCTGGATCAAAGACAGGAGAGTGAGAGTATGACATGCGCCTCTACACCGCACAATGAACATGGCTTATATGATACCAGAAGAGAGACAACGACTAGCTGAAGCAGTCAAGCATCATCAGATGACTCGCCATGCAGTACACGAACAGCCTGAAGGTGCGTCATATACTTATCATAACAATATCCTTCTTTGGCTAACATGATGTTAGAACTACTCGAAGCTGTTAGGGCAAGTCTGCGAGCCAAAGTAGCAGCTCTCACGGAAGACAATTGGATGTTTGAACCAGAAGAACAGACCCGTGGTTAACCATTTGTTTGTTTTTTGTTTCCCTTACAACGCCTGCTGTCTATGTGTTTACTTCAAGACAATACGGTATACTAACCACCCGACCCTATAACCCAACTTTCATCTTTAGTCCAGACCCTCTGCTGCGGGAGCATCTTGCCGTTGCGTAACCTGCTTACGCTTTGGCTTCTCTGGCTGGCCACCACCGCCGCCAAAGAACCCGCTCATCATATCCATGAGGGGGTTGTTCTGTCGAGGCTTGGTGAGGCCAAAGTACATCTCGCCGACCATCTCGAGCGCCTCGCTCCACGATCCCGCCTCGTTGATTTGCGTTGCATACTTGGATACCAGGGCGCGGTAGAGCTCGGGGGCGCCACGCTGGATGGCAAGGAGGAGGAAGCCGAGGAAGTTGAGGAGGGGTAGGCTTGGGAAGATGCGGATATCACCAGCAGAGCTCGACACGTCTTGGACGCCGATGTTTGGGTTATCGCTGGAAAGAGAGCTGGTGAAGAGGCGGTAGCAGGTGTTGGCGGCACGAACGTTTCCGACCAAGAGGTAGGGGAGCACGGCACGGCCAGCAAAGAGAGCTGCCAGATGAGGGTCACCCTCCCTGTACCAAGTGTATTCCATCTTTGTAAGAACCTCGGGCGAATCCTTGGTGCCCAATATTAAATGTTTCTCGGCCTCGTATGTATCGTGCTCTTCGGCGTAGAGTGAACCGGCGACGTGGTGAAGCTCTGGATCTCCAGCTGGGTACTCACCAAGCTTGGCTGACCATCTATATTGATAATGTCAGACATGCTCCCTGTGGTATGTGTGTATGTGTAGGTCATGATATCGCACTTACCCGATGATCTCGCCAACAAACTTCTTCCTCGTGGGCTCACCAGCCGGGAACAGTCGCAGACAGGTCAACAGTCTACCCTTGCTGGTAGCATCGGGCTTCAACTCAGCCTGCTTGTAGACATCAACCAACATGGCACAGAGGTCCCCACCACTACCACCCTGTCCCGCGCGCAGCAGCGCCTGGGAGACATTGGAGAGGATATCGATGGCGGCGGGCCAGTTGGAGGTCTTGATGTAGCGAGATGCGGCGACACGGGTCTGCTGCTGAGCCTCGTAGTAGTCGCCCTCTTCAATCTTGGCCTGCAGCCGGGCTACTATGCGGTCGACCTTGCTGGCCATGGTGAGATGTTTGTTTATAGAGGGAGTCGAAGGAATAGGTGTTGCGATGCGACGGGGTGAAAGAGAGTGACGTAGAATATCTCAAGTACAGAGGCAAGGTGTCGCAGCTTAGGCGGGTGAGGTGTTGGAGGGGTTGGCCAGAAACGAGTACGTACCTTACCTGGAAGCTTGGAGCGCCGCCAGATGGAAGACTCCACTTTCGTGACGGATAGAAAAAATAGAAAAATCTTGATGCTTACGATTTCCTTTATCAACGTGGGAGCTACACAAACTGTTATGTCTCGACCAATTCGAGCATGTGTTCACAATCAGGTTTGTGCTACATCACAACTCGTCGCGGGATTGAACTGCAGTGATAATTTATTTGTCCTTCAACTTAGACCGTCACAGTGAGTGCCGTGACGAGCTTGTGTCCTTTAAACACTGGTGTTAATCCATCATCTTCGCTGGACAAGACAGAACCAAGTTTAACATACCTCTTCTTATCACGGATACTTACAAACACTTACAACAAGTTAACTGCTCAAGACGAATATCTAGGGTCAGCTGCTGTTGAAAGCACAGGTAAACCTAACATTGAAGCATTAGAGTTTAGAGCCAATGTGGTTAGGTTCATCTCAGCGCCCCCACAAGTCGATCTCCGAGCAGGTCATCCAAGCGGATCCTACCAACTTCGAGTTGTATAAGAAGCTCACCTTTCCCCGTGTCCTACATCGCAATAGAGATATCCGGTTACACAGAATAAACCGAATTCCTTCTTTCCTTCTTGACCATTCAGTCCATTCGTCCTGCCAACAAAGTATCCGCGTGATTAGTTTAGTGGTAAAATTCTCCTTTCCCATCGTATATGAGATAGGGAGAGTCCCGAGTTCGATCCTCGGATCACGCATTACCTTTTGGGATTTTGGGTATTTATCTATATTTTTGATGTCATTAGGAGTTACTGTGATGTTTCTAGCTATGTTGCTGCGCGTGTAAAGTCAGAATGTTGTGGTTGACTGCCTTACGTCCTCTTCTATGTCCAGATAGGCAGCTAGCAACTATCAAGAAGAACCATGTTAGATGTAAATAGAGCGGTAGAATATCACTCGATTTATTGCTTTCTAATAACAAAATAGAATGCTAAACTCCATAGGTCTATCACCAATAACCATTAGTAGATTCTAGACACTACTGAAACATTGTTCGGCGACTACCACCCGAACCGATCCGGCGAACCCACGGCGGACCAGCTCCATCGTCTCCCGTCTCCCGTCGTCGGCCCCAGTTTCCACGCGTTGTTACTCTACATGACATGATAAGCCGAAGCCGGCCTTTTAGCAGTCCATCAATTCGGTGTCAACTCCGACGTTTCATAAGCGCTCAACTCCCCTTGCATCTTTGTTTCTTTTATATTCTAAACTAACTCTCAAGATACCATCATTTTCCAAGTACCCTACACATATCATGGCCTCATCTGCTCTTCAGCGTGAGTCTTGCATCATCCCCTATCCAATGGCATCATACTAATATCGATAGGCCTTGTGCGCTTTATTCCAAGATCTAGCCCCTCCAAGATCCTTATCGGTCAACCAGCGGACAAAGACATCGATGTCGGTGCTGCTCTGCGCAAGGGTCAAGAGGTTGCTGTCAATGTCTGGTCGGGCTCATCAGTCTTGTCTCCTGGATCATCGACTGGCGCCACTGAGACCATTGACCGTGTCTTATCCCCTCTCGCGCAAAGCGAGATTGGTACCGTTCGATGCGTTGGCTTGAATGTATGTATAGCGCGCTACTCAGACTAACAGTATTGGCTGACTCTTCAACTCAGTACAGAAAGCACGCCGCCGAGTTGGGACTTGAGCCCCCACCAATCCCAGTTATCTTCATGTAAGTAGACCTGTCTGGATGCTCCAATGTCACACATAGAACTGAGCTGACGTGTAATAGGAAGCCCGCCACAGCTATCGTGGACCCCTGGCCGGCGCGTGGAATCGTGCCCAAGCTGAGCCAGATTGACGAGTCGGGAGACTACGAGGCAGAATTAGCCGTCGTTATCGGCAAGACGGCCAAGAATGTCTCTGAATCTGAGGCTTTGGACTATGTTCTCGGATACACTGCCGCCAACGATGTTTCCAGCCGCACACAGCAGCTGAACCAGTCTCAATGGTCCTTCTCCAAGAGCTTTGACGGATCTTGTCCTATAGGTAAGGTTATTCGAACACATTGAGAATCCAACTAATGATACCCTTCAAGGCCCTACACTTGCCCTCAAGTCTCTTATCCCAGACCCCTCCAAGCTGTTCATGCGAGGTCTCAAGAACGGTGAAGTGTTCCAGGAGAGCGGCACTGAGTAAGTATATCAAACCAGACACACAAATTACCTTACTGACTGCGCTTAGCGATCTCATCTTCTCTGTCCCCAAGATCATCAGCTGGCTGTCTCAGGGCACTACACTCCCTCCTGGAACGGTCATTATCACCGGTACTCCCGCAGGTGTTGGAATGGGCCGAACGCCTAAGGATGCATTGAGACATGGCGATGAGTTTGCTGTTGAGATTCTGCCTCACATTGGAACACTCACTAATGTCTTTGAGGATGAGAAGAATGGCTTCTTAACAAAGCTGTAGAGTTGCAATTACGGCGCCCTGTATATATTTGATTCAAGTATGCAATCTAGCACATCCTGCATTTATTTAAACGAACTACCTCACAACTGCCAGTACGTTTCTGAGGGAAACAATATGTTAATGCAATTAAATTATTGCACGTTCAAGAATTTGTTTACTGTAGCCACGCCTGTCAGCGTAAGCACTAATGTACAATGCATCACTTCTTTGAGTAGGATTCGCTTGGTTCCATTTTAGGATCTCACCCAGCCTGAATTGTATTTAACTAGTGTTGTTGCTGATGATGCCGAAACATCCAGAGCTACATCATCCTCAAGATATTTATTTATAGCTGATCTTCAATTGGTAACTAACGCTTAAATCCGAAACGATGTCAAGCCCAGCTTCTATCCCGGAGAAGATGAGAGCGTTAAGACTAGTCGAGGTAAGATCCATATCGGAGAATGAATACTTGAGCATGTCTCATTTGAGTCCTACCATAGTACCACAAGAATTACAAATTGCTCGACGATGTCCCAACACCAACTCCAAAACCAGATGAAGTCCTCATTCGGGTGGCTGCCGCCGGCCTCTGCCATACCGACCTCATTGTTTATCACGGTTTCACCGAAGCTCCACTGCCGTTCACTGGGTCTCATGAACCAGCGGGCACGATAGTCAGCCTTGGGTCCGAAGTACCAGAAACATGGCATGTGGGAGACCGTGTGGGGATTACAAACTTCATGGACCCATGCGATAAGTGTAAAGGGTGTAAGTGGGCAACTCAAGCTATCGGATCACTCGACCCTAGATTCTGTGACAACAGGACTATGTGTGGTATTTACCATCGTGATGGAGCGTTTGCTGAGTACATGACTTCCTGGCATAAGGCTGTTGTTCACTTGCCTGATAGTGTGAGTTTTGAACAGGCAGCTCCTTTGATGTGCGCTGGGGTAGGTCCTCTCATAAGTTGGCGTTTTATGAGGATACTGACGATGAACTCTCCAGGCAACGGTATGGCATGCTATTAATCAAGCAGATCTACAAAAGGGGCAGACCGTGGCCATAATCGGGATAGGGGGTCTCGGAGTCTTGGGTATACAATTCGCAAAGGCTCGAGGCTATCGAGTTGTAGCTGTCGACAACCACGACGTCGGGTTGAAGCTCGCATCAGAAGTCCCCTCCCACCTGAGACCTGATCTTACCCTCAGACTTCAAGACTCAGAAACCATCCAGAAGATCTCCGATTTCACAGACGAGATTGGTCTCAAAGCGGCCATTGTGTGCACCAGCGACAATGACGCAAATGATTGGGCCGCTCGGCGTCTACAGCCAAGGGGAGTATTAGTCGCCGCAGGCTTTCCTGAGCAGGGGCTTAAGTTTGAGTCTATGAATCTTCTCTTTAAGGAGATTCTAGTCAAGGGGACTATCCATTGCAGTATGGAGGAAACCCGGGAGATGATGGAGTTTGTAGTCGAGCATGGAATCCGCAGCCACTTAAGCTTGCTAAGTATGGATGAGGCGGAGGATATCGTAGCTAGATCTGAGGCTCACGCCTTTGTCGGCCGTCCAGTTGTACAGATTAGGAAGTGATGAAGCGGAGTGAAAGATGAGCAAAAGACTGTGAAGCTGCGAGACGGTACAATTGAACTGGCTAGGGGTTTTTATGCTCATCGGCCAAAAGTCGAAGGCCTGGGGGCTCTTTGAATATCTCCCATGGGGTGTCCATAGCGACTCAACATACTCATTATCCAAATTGACATGGCAGTCTTGCACACGGAGTCAAGTCCCGCAGAGAATCATTAATTTTTGTTTCATTTAAGAGCTCCCAAAAAACTCCAGGACGACACTCTCTACCAAGAGTATCTACGTCAGGCCTATCATTCAACATTGGCCATATCTTGCACGGTACAGTACACAATGTCTTCAATAGACTAATATACCTATGATCCCGTTCCTTCCCGCCTGCCCAAGATGCTCGTCGAAAAGTACCTTTCATTATGACCCAAATTTAAAGATTCCAAGCATTTCCTGACGATCGTCGTCCCCTCTCATACAACCACTTGCTGTTCAACCCAACACTTGTTCGCTTACCTCCAGCCGAACCAGGAGAAGCAGAATCAGAGAAGACGTTGCTCGAAGAGCTAGCAGCAAATGGGCTCGCTGATCCAAAAGAGGACCTCCGTCCGTTGCCAAAGTTGTTGACACTCTTCTGGAATAGAGGGCTACCCAATGGGGAGCCAGTAGATCCCTGGAAAGGGCTGCCTCGTCCAGACAGAGGCGAGCTGCCGTAGCTTCCACGACTTCCCACAGAGCCACCAATAGATGGCGTGCGAGAGTATCGCGGCGGCGTGTTAAATTTGGCATCGGGGGTGGGCACAGCTGAGGAGGGATCCAGACCCAGCAACTGACGCTGCGCAGCTGTGAGGGGGATATCGGCGAGATCGTCTTTCGGTCGGATCAATGGCAGACACGCAATGCCAATGTTGATAAAGGGTATGAGTTGAAGAATGAACCACGACCAGCTCAAGTATATCCTCAAAGAGGTAGGAACACTGAATGGGGAAGTTAGTTATTGAAGAGTCGCAAAGATCGCGACCGACAACTCACACTTGAGAGCCAATGTTGAGCTTGGCTAGGAGCTGCGCAGACCAGAATCCTAGTAGCGCAACAACATTATAGGCGATCTGGCGGACATTCTTCTCTGAAAAGGTCGTCGCATTACGACGTCTAGTGATTTCGTCGAGTCGAGGGTGACGCCAGGTACCAGGGCTATCGGTCACTGAGGGGCCGCCAATGGTAGTCGTCCTAACAGGAGTAGACATTGCGAGTATCGGGAATGAAAGAGACGCGGGGAATCTGGTTGAGGACGTCCGGATTGGTTCTGTATGCGTTGCTGGTTGATGGCCTTTATCTCTTGGGCTTTCTGCAAGATATTGGCCAAAGTCTTCTGAACAGTCCGCTCAAGCACAAAAACAATAAATAGATCCTGTTTACGGTGTCCCTGTTGGTTAGTATTAATGTCGTCCTGGCCGAAGCCGTGGTGAGCCTGGTTGCTCCCTTGGTGATGGTATTTGTTGATGTTGCGACCAGAGAAATGAGAGGAGCAGTCTCCCCAAGGAAAACACAAAGCCTAGGCTTAGGCTGCTCTGCTTCTGCTCCTGCTCCTGCAGCTAAGCTCTGGCGTTGCAGCGCGACCAGCACGGGCCCTGCATTACCTACTACCTACTACGCACATCCATCGCACTACGCCACACCCTCAGACTCTCTAGGTTAGGTAGTTCTACTTTCTGCCTTTCA